TATACATGGCCCTATGGCTTTCTCTCCTGGGAGAGCAACCCCTGGATGAGTGGGTGGCGAAACTGTGGCACCTGTGCCGGAGGGAGTTGGAGATGGACGAGATGTACAGAGCACTACAGTGGTATGCCAGCCGGCGCGACCACTGGAGGACCGATGACAGTATGCTGGAGGGAGAGGATTATGATGGCCCCAGCCTAATGTGGGAAGCCTTGGATAAAGACATTAACTTTGTCAGCTCTGCAGAATTTTGGCTCTGGGAAATCCACCGCACCAGGGAAGCCTAGAACTGATGACCTGGGACCAGACCTGATCCGTCTGGCCGCCATAGAGTTGAAGCTGGAGCAGGATTAAAAACACCTGCTCAGCTCAATTCGACCCTAATATACCCTGCAGGGAGATCAGGAGAACTGGTTAGTGGGACCAGACCTGCCACCCTACAGCTGGGTAGACCTGGCGGAGGTACTTCACCCCCAGCTCTAGAAGTATGGGACCTCATCAACTTGTCCTGGGAAGACCCCCAGTCAGTAGGTGGAGATGGGACCGTGGTCTCTCCACCGGCCCTACAGGGATGCTGGGCAGCCGGCCCAAATCCCCAACTACAGCTGGAGTTACCAGGAGTAGGGACAGTCGGTCCTACTCCCCAGTGGAAGTTTACCTTTTAGGGAGAGGAGACAACCGGATGAGCAGTGTTTGGATATTAGGCTATTCAAACGGGAGTCGAACGGTGTTTAGTGTGTATAAGCTCCCAAAGGAAAGACATAGAGTGGACCAGCGAGTGCCAGGGGACAGTCCTTACAAAGCGTGGAACGAGTGCATCATTAGACGTATTTATGCCAATCTCAGGGCGCTGTCTGCGTAGTATGCCCTTGGTTTGTCATCCTGCATGATTGGTAGGCGGCCTGACACACATTCACAACAGGCTGACCATCTAATTCTTCAAGTAGCCACGTCCCCTTTTTGGGCATATTTGCGCCTGTGTGCGGTTCTGTTTACATGATTTGCGTCAGTGGTCCACCCTTTTACGCCACCCACCAAAATCCTGCTGCACCGGACACTGTTGTCAGTCTATATGGATTTACTTGAAAGATGAAAGTGAGCGATTAGCATATGGTATGTGTTTTCTGATAGTTATATCCTGTGAGTTTCCCTCCAGCAACATCTCCACCAGATACATGACGCTTGGGAGGTATAACCTCCGTCAGATACATGATGCTTGGGAGGTATAATTATTTTAGTTTTTTCTGTCGATAAGATTCTATAATAAGGTCCATCATAATTGTCAGCACCAGGCCCAATGGGCTCTTAATCTGGCCCTGCTAGTTTGTCCATGTATCAAGTGGTCGACCTATATTTGTATATATAGCTCCAGGATGTCAGAAGATGTCACTATCCTGTATTGTTTCCTGACTGAGAAGGCCTTTCCAGCTTTGGCAAAGGGAATATGTTCTGGGAGGATTGCTTCTTCAACCCTTGTATGGTTTGTCATAGCTTTAGTCGGATCACGTTTAATGGTAATGTCTTTACACGTTACAAATTCTAAGAGTTAAAACTATTTTCTGGGACAAGTAGACAGCTTTCAAAATCTTTACTTTTGTTTAAGGATTGAAAAATCCTTCAGATTGCTAAAGCAACTTTGTTTTTTCCTAGTACTATGAATCATTTGTCTTATTATGTGAATGTCATAAATGGTAAAATTCTCAGGAAACAAAAGTAGCAAGAATGTCAAAGAGGAAGAAAAAGTGGTGTAAACATTGATTATTTTGCTGCATTACAGAAAAGAAGGAAAAACATCATCAAAGTTTGAATGACAGGAAAACCATTTCATACATAATAAAATTGACTGTTCGCACAAATTGTCAGGGTAAGCTAAAGCCTAACACATAACACAAATCTAGGGCAGAACCAGAAAAGGTAACAAGAAATAAGCCGAGGTCAGGAGAATAGAGACTACCCAAGGTCAAGAAAACAGATACACTGGATCAATGAGACTACCCAAGGTCAGGAGAACAGAGAAACACAGGATCAATGAGACTAGCCGAGGTCAAGAGAACAGAGATACACAGGATCAATGAGACTAGCCGAGGTCAGGAGAACAGAGAAACACAGTGTGACAGATCCATCTGTATAGACTAAGATTGCTGGTTCGTCTGTTTTGCCTCTTTTCATGGAATTACCTGTCTGTATGCCCCTGTTTGTTTATTTGACGTTTTTACCGAATGAACTTACCGAACGGACGGCCACCCAGAAGAGAAGTGTGCTGCTGGTTGTGGCGGAACCAACCTCGCCACTATGCACTGGAGAAGCCTGGTTGTCAGCCTCCTGCCATGTGACTATGGCCCCTGGGATGTATTGCCCTTTAAAGACATGATTTGGGCATAATGGATTTGTGTTGTGCTACTGCTGGCCCTTTAAGAACCATCTGGGGACATACTGTGGAGTTACTGGATGGCCACCATTTCCTGTATCAGAAGCACATGGTGAGAACAATGGATGGCGGCCATTTTAACTCACAGACACTGTGTGGACTTTTCAACACGGTGCCATCTCGCCAGTATTTGTTGCACAGAGACATCGTGCGGTGGTTTTGGACTATACAGCAGGGGACACATTATACAGTGATTGTTTTTTATTTAGCCTGTATATATTCTGCAGAATCTGCATTAAACTGTATTTTCCAAAGTACTGAACGGATCTGGGTGAATTTTGGATATGTGGTTCACCCAGATCCCCCAGTTCCAAGGATATACTTTATGGGGTTATTGCATGTTTTGGGGTCCCTGTGATGTGTTTTATGAAACTGTATTTCTCTGGCTGTGATAATTAGATTACACATTGTGTTCAGTAATCATATCACAGCCAGAGGGGAGGATTTTGTGTGGGAGTGTCTGGGTGTATTGTATGGATTGATTGGCTGTTTTGTAACGCCCTGTGGGCTGTACTATGTTTGTGGATTGGGAATAAAAGAGACTGTATGTGACAGTACAGGGAGTTCCTATTTTAACCCTCAAAGTGAAGTGTCGTCTCATTATTGGGGGAAGGATTTATTGTATGCTGTTCCAGTTTGACTGCTAGGAGAGTAAACCTATTCGTATGGTTCCTATTCAACTGTCTACAGCATTCAAATGCTTGGGAGAATTTATTTGTTTCTCCGGTTCGGTGATTGTGGTGTCTGCCAAAGTGCTTGGAGTCCTCAGGAAGCGCTAGGAGCATCCTTCAACGGAGGTACCCAGTCGGGGTGCCAGGCGATCCGTTACATTGGTGGCAAGCGGTGGGATGGCGTCCTAGTGCGAGGTAAAAGCAGCTCAGAGACACAGTTCGTGGATTTACAAATTGAAGGCGACGCTAGTGTTCATACAGCGTCCCTGTCTACATAAAGATTTGGGAAAACCAGCACTACTTCAGAGATGGAAGGCCGTGCAGTATCTCACTTTGACACCAGGCTCCAGCAGCGACTACAGGATGTGATGCGCAGTATGGAGTATCCTATCCCAGAGGAAAGAGAGACAGAGTGGAGGGTGGCGCTTCGTACCGATCTCTGGAAGGAGGACATTGACGAAATTCGACCCTTCCGGTGCGAGGAAATCCTGACCACTAACCAGCGCCAAGCAGAACAACTAGAGCTGCGGATGCCGTTATTGGGAAACCAACCCTCAGAGGAATGGGTAAGCGAACTGGAGACGCTAGTTGAGACTGAGGTGTGGCTGGATGATTCCTATCGGGCCCTGCGGTGGCATGTTTACCACCTCTACCCATGGCTGATTGAGTACAAGTGTATTGATGGGGAAGACTACGATGGCCCTGGTTTGTTGTGGGATACTATTGAAACTAGTCTCTGGTTCGGAGACACCAACATTGCTCGCTTCTGGTCCATCCGAGCTGAGCGGGCAGACAACTGGGACCTTACAGAGATCGATGCCATTCAGCCAGATCTATCTTTTCTTGCCAACCGATAGTGGGAACTAGAACAGGATTATGTTTGCCTATTCCAACGTATAACGCCACCTGTCTCTGACATGATGGGGCTTATTGACTGTATACCACCGGAAGCATTGAGTTTAGTTCCTCCTCCCCAGCAACCAAGCCTGTTATCAGGAGACCTTGGTACTGTACCACATATGTCCCAACCAGCCCCAGAGATGGAAGACCTTATTGACTTGTCCTGGGAAGACACCCAGCTGGCAGGTGGAGATGGGACCGAGGTCTCTCTACAGGCCTCCCCAGTGGCAGTATGTATCCCAGGGAGCTGAAGGTGTCGTACTTCCTCCCCAGCGGCAGTGTGTCCTGCAGGAAGCGGAGACAGTTGGTCTCGCTCCCCAGCAGCAGGACAATATATTAAAAGGGGAGACAGTTGGTCCCCCTCTCCAACAGCAGAGAGTGTTCCAGGGAGAGGAACCGGTTATCACCTCTCCCCAGCAACAGGACAAATTATTGAAAGGGGAGACAGTCGGTCTCCCCCTCCAGCAACCAGGCTCCAACCAGACTACTCCCGTGGTAGTGCTGGCACCAGGACAGAGTACCGCTGGTCTCTGCCCACTCAGCAACCCACCCAGTACGCTGACCAGTCACCCACACAGCCATGGTGAGGCACCTGGACACGGACAAAGTTCTCCTCTACCCAGGTGTAGTAGCCAGTTATTGTGGGTGGGCTGTATTACTGATTGTGTTTTGTGGGTGGGCTGCTGGACTAACAAGGGCACTGACTGGCAGGAGGTCAGATACCTTGTTAGTCTGATTGGTAAAGGGGAGAAGTGTGGCGGAACCAACCTCGCCACTATGCACTGGAGAAGCCTGGTTGCCAGCCTCCTGCCATGTGACTATGGCCCCTGGGATGTATTGCCCTTTAAAGACATGATTTGGGCATAATGGATTTGTGTTGTGCTACTGCTGGCCCTTTAAGAACCATCTTGGGACATACTGTGGAGTTACTGGATGGCCACCATTTCCTGTATCAGAGGCACATGGTGAGAACAATGGATGGCGGCCATTTTAACTCACAGACACTGTTTGGACTTTTTAACACGGTGCCATCTCGCCAGTATTTGGTGCACAGAGACATCGTGCAGTGGTTTTGGACTATATAGCAGGGGACACATTATACAGTGATTGTTTTTCATTTAGCCTGTATATGTTCTGCAGAATCTGCATTAAACTGTATCTTCCAAAGTACTGAACGGATCTGGGTGAATTTTGGATATGTGGTTCATCCAGATCCCCCGGTTCCAAGGATATACTTTTTATGGGGTTATTGCATGTTTTGGGGTCCCTGTGATGTGTTTTATGAAAATGTATTTCTCTGTCTGTGATAATTAGATTACACATTGTGTAAGGTAATTGTATTACAGGCAGAGGGGAGGATTTTGTGTAGGAGTGTCTTTCTGTAATGTACGTGTGTTATTGGTTGTTCTGTAAAACCCTGTAGGCAGTACTAAGTTTGTGGATTGGGAATAAAAGAGGCTGTATGTGCCAGTCCAGACAGTTCCTGTTTTAACCCTCAAAGTGAAGTGTCGTCTCATTATTGGGGGAAGGATTTATTGTATGCTGTTCCAGTTTGACTGCTAGGAGAGTAAACCTATTCGTATGGTTCCTATTCAACTGTCTACAGCATTCAAATGCTTGGGAGAATTTATTTGTTTCTCCGGTTCGGTGATTGTGGTGTCTGCCAGAGTGCTTGGAGTCCTCAGGAAGTGCTAGGAGCATCCTTCAACGGAGGTACTCAGTCGGGGTGCCAGGCGATCCGTTACACTGGTTAACCTCTTGATCCCAATTAGAACGTTGTGGTTAACCGCAAGGCGGCGGCCATTTTAAACCATGCGAAGGACCAGAGGTGTTCGGCACAGATTCTATGGAACTAAAAACTGACACTTTTTCTGCCAAACACCGCTAAAACCACAGACCGCTCTTCTCAGTCGACAAAAGCATGCGAACACCGGCCGTTCAGGAGTTTGGACTACACAAATGGACTTAACCCAGATAGCCTTCCCATGGAGTCAATCGCATACCGAAAGACTGTAAAAGACTTTGACTCCATGGTGATTGAACTGTGTGTATGGGATCTGAGCGCTATTCGCTAAGAATATGCACTGAGATCCAGGCTATCTGGGGATACGTTGCACTAATGGAATATGTTCGGTAGTTGTGTAATTATTTATTTTTATGTGGTTTTTATGTTTTATCTAAAATGGCGATTTGTCTCTGTCCTGGGAGATAATTGAATTACTTCTCAATTATCTCCAGGGCAGAGGGGAGGAAACCATGATGCATGCTGGGAATATTACGTGCCTGTGTGTCCTAACATGCTAAATGTCTGTCTGCCATTACAGTCTCCCATTTGGTCCCCTAGGGGAGTGTCCACCAAGTGGGAGACCTGCATAAATACGGGCGGGTAGCCCACAGTAAACCCAGTTCTAGTTTTACCCTCAATGCGGAGCTTGGTCTCGTTATTGGGGGGGTTTACTACACACGAATAGCGACTGATTGCTGAAACCGTAAGCCGCTTGGATGATATATTGATTCGGCTGTTAGCAGCGATTCGTGGGTTTACCGCTCGAGAGTTGGAGTATCCGTACAGGTCCCGTTGGGGAGGTTGGCGCATTCCCCTGCTTGCAGTTCGTACGATTGGAGTCTATACGAATGGAGTTTACAGTATTTTTGACTATTTGATGCCGAGGGTGCCATTACACACTGGATCAATGAGACTAGCCGAGGTCAGGAGAACATAGATACACAGGATCAAAGAGACTAGCCCGAGGTCAGGAGAACATAGATACACAGGATCAAAGAGACTACCCTAGGTCAGGAGAACATAGATACACAGGATCAAAGAGACTAGCCCGAGGTCAGGAGAACAGAGACACACAGGATCAATGAGACTACCAGAGGTCAACAGAACAGAGATACACAGGATCAATGAGACTAGCTGAGGTCAGGAGAACAGAGATAAACCGGATCAATTAGCCTAACCTAGGTCAGGAGAACAGGTATTGATCAATGAGAACTGTGATGCACAGCATCAATGAGGCTACCCGAAGTAAGAACAGATATAAAGACTAGCTGAGGTCAGAAGAATAGCGATACAAAGCATCGATGAAATTAGATAAGGATAATAGAGATACACAGGATCAATGACACTTCCCAATGTGGCAAACCTAGCCACTTTTAGAGTAAATGGCTGTATCTGCAAAAGTTGTCTGTATAAGCCGCTGGACTGTTATATTTTAATGTCTGCCTGTACTGCTATGTCCTAGAGCATTCATATGCTAGCAGCCGAAAGCCGCTAGCATTCATGTATTCGTTTCACGAACAGGGACTTTACTTGCTGTTCGTGAAACTAATGAGATACCACCCAGGAGCCCACACACAGAGTGCATTTCATGCGGCGTTCGGTTATTTATGCTGGGATCTGAGCGGTATTCTCACGAAATGTGCGCTCAGACCCCAGCTATCTACCGAACGTCTATTCGTTTAAATAACGTGAATGATGGAAAAGTTATATATTTTAATGTAAAATGTTGGTTCTGCTGCACAGAGGGATAATCCACTTAACGGTATATTCCAGTGGGAGTATCCCTCTCGTCCAGCAGTGCCTGATGGGAGAAATGTCCAGATTGTTAAGTCCCCCATGTAGTCCCCTACTATATAACCCCTGCAATGTCAGTAGGGAAACCCCTTGCATGGGGACTTGCATAAATACTGTGACTTGTTAATAAAAGCGCAGTTGACTCCCAGAACTGTGTTTCGTCCGGTTACTGGGGGGATTTGGGATATTGCCTTACTTTTCAGCGCTTTACTTTGGATTACCCTCTGTGCAGCTCCGCTACAACCGAGTTCAAGACAACAGAGATACACAGGATCAATAAGACTAAGCAAGGTCAGGAGAAAAGATTAAGCTTATAGAGGTATACATGGTGTGGACAACCAGGGGTCAAAATACCAGAAAAACACATCAGACAGGTAAAGGGTATAGGGTTTCAATAGAAATGAAAAAATAACCCTACTGGTCAGCATTGTAACTGCGTCAAAATGGAAAAAGGTATTAGAGGCTCCAAAAAATTAATGGGAGAAACAGTGTTCAGAATTAGAATTACACCAGACTGTGAGGAGGTGACAAAATGACACAGAAGAGGTGCATCACTAACAAGTACCATGACACAAATATGGTGCAAATGTGTTTTGACTTCATCCTGCATTTCATTTCTGCTGGTACCCCTAGCAACAATCCAAAAAGTGACAAGAAACCATAGACTGTACAGTTTTGACCGTATGGGTCTTGTCAGCATGGGGAGTTTTATTGTGTCTGGTCTAATTATATATTAATTGGTATCTTGCTATATAGTCACACAGGGCTATTTACTAAAGTGATAATTCAAGGAGGTATGGCTACACAGCTCTAATAAGTGAACATTAGTGCAGCTTCCTCACACAGCAAGAAAAAGAAAAACCAAGCAACAAAGCTCAATAACAGATAGGGGTAATGAGAAAATAGAACCTGAGGTTGGTGGAACCGAGGGGAACACGACAAGTGCTTAATCCTTGCCCATGCTTAAAGATGCAGAGCCCAATATGGCTCCTGCAACCTACACAGATCCGAGGAAATCCCTACTATGTTGGGAGTGCTCGACAACTGCATGAGATGCAGATCTAAAAGAATCATCTACTGTCTAAGAAGCATATGGTGTCAATGCTGGTCACATTGAATCTTTCCAAGTAAAATTTTTAGAGCTTAACTTGGAGCTCTTTCCCAGGTGTAAAAGGAGTAGGTGTATGCACAACTTACAATGCTCCAGTCGCAAGTGGCAAAGCTGTCTTGTCAACTATCACCATCACTATTTGGAACATATCGATAATCAAACTAAGGTCTCCATTTCATCGGACATGCCAGCCTCATAAGAGTACTTACCTGAGATTTCTATCCCAGACTGGTACAGGAGTCACTAGTTGTGGCAGGTCCGCTGCCTGTTCGTAAATTGCTATGTGTTATTCCCCATGTATCCCCTGTGTTGTGTTCGTAATTAGGTGTCAAAACCACAAACCGCAAGGGAAGCCTCGGTGCGTGCCGACCCTGGGTGGCGGCTGTAGCGGAACCCGTTTTTGGCTGTCCCATTCCCTTTTATTGATTGTTGGCCCTGCAGAGATTTTCCTGTGCCTGGAGTACCCAGAACTCTAAGTAACTAGGTATGGACATTGTAGCAAACTCACCCCTTTAAGAGAGCTTGCCATGAGCTTTTGGAGGGGTTTGGCCCTGGGGGTATTGCCCTTTAAAGGCAGTATTTGGGCATTATGGATTTTTATTATGCGGCTACTGGCCCTTTAAGCACAGTGTATGGACTTCTATTAGACTGTGTATAGGAAGGTGTACCCCTCCCCCATTTCCTGTCCCATTGTTCTCCAGCAGGGCGTTGTCCCACACTGCCAGACTAGTTGGAACTGGTTTGGGCTGGAAAGTTTGGGGTGGAAAGCCATGCTTCAGTGGACCTAAAGGGACCTCCACAAAACTTTAAACCCCCATAACTCCCGAACCCCTGATCCGATTTGGGTGATTTTTTAATATGTTATTCACCGAGATCAGGGCCATCAGGGGATACCACATTTAGGGGTGTACCCTCTGTATTTGGGGTACATCTAGAACTTGGGGAAAAAATGTACATTAGATGATGGGAGGAGATGTGTGGGTTGTACCTTGTACTTTATTGGTTAATGTACTAATGATTGTGAATCCCTCCCTTGCATGGGAGAAAGCTTTAAAAGAAGGTTGTTGGGAATAAAAGTTCAGTTCTACTCCTGATACTGTGTGTCATCCAGTGATTGGGGAAAGTGATGGGATATTACTGGATTGTAATGCTGATTGTGCTGGATATTCTCTTGGATTTATTGCTTGTTCCTGCATCCTCTTAAAGTACTTGGTGGAGTTTAGCTGTGAGAAATCAGCTCTCCGCTACATTGGTTAGCAGCGTCCGGATCCAGACCCACAGAGGAGCAAGTACCAGGAAAGACAACAGCATTGATGGATCACGGATGGAGATCGATTGCACCACTTTAAAGCGATCCAATTTAAAGGACCTCCTGGAAGCAAGGGATATTCCCGCCAGCAACAAGACCAAGGCAGTCCTGGTTGCAGAAGTCATGGCGGAATACAGAGCAGAAGAGGGTCCGGCTTTGGTGCAGAATAACCCAGCAGAGGAACAGGGGCTGTTGGAATTTCAAAGAGAACTGCAATTCCGGCTGTCATTTTATGGGGAAAACCCACCAACAGAGATTATCTCCAGAACCATGA